GGAGATTACTTTCCATATGATTTGAAGCAATTTGGAGGAGGGTCGAAAATTAGCCGCCCACAGAAATTCCTGTTTGTAAACTTCTTTTTGTGTTTGTAAACTAGTGTTTGTAAACATCATAACCACAAAAGCAAAGATCGGGCACGGTTTTCAAATACCAATAAAATGAATAATACCGACAATGACATTCTCTACTTCATATGGAGCATTGGGCCAGATCTTAAGGTTCATATCAGAGGCTATGCTTGACTCAGGGGGTCAGCAAGTGCTCGTATATGAATACTTTCAAAAGAGGAGAAAGCACTTCTTCTTTCTTGCTATAATCCATATATTATCTAGATATAGACCAGTATAATCCAGAGATAAGTCTAGCTTACCTATACCAGCTGGGACTGTCGAATTAATTCCAATTTAGAAATTGGTCACATGATTTGGCTCACGTGCAAAATGTCACCTGATATTCACGTGCCATGTCACGCCCGCCCAATTCGTTAAGAGTTTTGGTTTCAGCTTGCAACGTTTTGGCGCAGTTAGTTAGATTTTTCACTGCTAAATGAGCTCAGGTTTTTTTGCAAAATAAGATCTAATGTTCGACACCATCATGTGCAAGATAGTATTTCTGTATGGAAATCGAGCTAAACTAGCCAAAATTATTAAACAGTGACTCATGTAAGCTTCATAAGAATGGAATATATATATAATACTTTGTTGTTCTACCGTTTCTGGGGCTCAAAATGGAGTTAATCAATTAAGCAACCTGGCTGACAATCATAATGTAAAACGCGTTTTGTACCCTTTCTGACGGTTATTGTGTACTTCGTGACAAGGTCTGATCCTCTACCTGGGGCTCCATCAAGGAATCTATATGCTGGTTTATAAATTCATTCTAGAATAATATCTAATGGTGTAACCAAAAGAAACGATATTAATGGGACCGCCAGAGGGACATGAAGTTGAATTGTTGCCAATTGAGAGAATAAATCAACACGAAAAGAATGTCTCTATTAAGGGCTAGGACCCTTTTTCTCGTTTATCTACAATTAGTTGTAGTTACACCTCTCAGGTCTCGAAGTCTGAAAAGATACCCACGTCAACAATCGGTATCACAAATCTAATGTGTGATCTGAATTTCATACAAGGCTTTTGAAAGTTCTATTCTATTTACAAGTTGAGATCTATTCAAGTTTAGTCAATGGATGTTGATGTAATTCTGCTTTATTAGCATCTTTACCATATGATAAATCTTTACCATATTTACCCCATTCAATATTACGCCTACTATTATCAACCAGCAATCTATCCAATATTTTACCAGAGATTTCAGGTATAACTGGTTGTATTAAGATAGAACATATTCTAGTAGCTTCTGTAGACAAGAAGACATAATAATTTATCAATGTTTTGTATTTTTCTAGTTTATCTGCTGATTCTTCTCCCTTCTTGATGAGTTTTACAAACTTCCATGGTTCCCCTTCTTGAAATACTTTATTCGCATCATCAATAATTGCCCACCAATGCTTAATAGCCCGATTATAATCAAATTCATTTTGGATTTGTTCGTCCATTATTCCATACAATTCATTCATCCCCGCTATTAACTTGTGTGTAACTTCAATCAACATTTCAAGTTCATCCCCCTCCTTATTAATCTCTCTAATTAAATCATCAATACCAATATCAAACTTCCCTTGTTGATAATATTCAATCAGTTCCATGATATCAAATTTATTGCCCCCAACTCTAGCAATCAATATGGTATATTTCTTCATCAACATGTCTCTGGATTCAACCATTAAATCTTGACTAAATTTAGAATCAAAACCAATATTTGAATTTCCCATCAAGAAAAACCTCATGGAATCAATCCCAACATATTCACTTAATTTGATTGGATCAACTACATTGCCTAAACTTTTACTCATCTTAACTCCATCACTTAACCAATGACTATGGACTATTACTTGTTTGGGTAATTCTATTTGGGCAGCCATTAAGAAAATTGGCCAATATATACAATGAAAACGGACGATATCTTTTCCGATTATGTGAGTTGGTGGCCAGATGTTTTCCCCTGGTAGAGTAATTGTTATTTGAATCCTGAGTGAATCCTTGAGGAAATTTGGATGCGGTTAGATAGTTTAATAATGCGTCGAACCAGACATAAATTTTCTGGGTAGGGTCATTGGGGACTTCAATTGACCATTTTAATCTAGTGGATGGACGAGAGATTGATAAATCTTCCAATTCATTTTCTTGGAGTTCTTTAACTACAGAATCATATTTCTCTTTTGGTTTAATGAAATTTGGATTCTGTTGTAAATGATTTAATAAATCTTGTTTAAATTTTGATAATTTAAAGAAATAATTCTCTTCTTGATACATAAACACTTCATTCCCAGTTTCAATTGAATATATTCTACCATCAGGTTTTTCAATAGTTCGACTTTTAGGATAAAAAGTTTCATCACTTACACAATATAATCCACTATGGGTTCCTTTATAAATATATCCTTTATCCATCATCAAATTCCAGAACCATTGAACTAATTCCACATGATCCTTATCAGTAGTTCTTATAAATCGATCATATTTAACATTTGCTAAATCAGCTAAAGATTTGAAATTTTGACTAACTTCATCCACTAATGATTTAGGATCAGTATTCAACTTTTCAGCAACAGATTGGATCTTAAGTCCATGTTCATCAGTACCTGTTAAGAAGTATGCTGATTTGGCTGGGTCGAGTTTATTCCATCGAGTGTAAGTATCTGCCAATACCATGGAATAAAGATGGCCAATATGGGGATTAGCATTGACATAAAAAATGGGAGTGGTTGTATAAACTGGTTTAGTTGAATAGAAACGAATACTTCTTCGAAGAAGAAGCAGAATCTGACTACTTCTTAGTTTATTCATAATTGCTTCAATTGTTCAATAGTTACGGAAGTGTAAAAAAGAGTAAAAAAGACGGAAATTGAAAAATTTAAATTATTTTTTTTTTTCATTTGAGAGTATGGAAATTAATATGGTTAATATATTCTATAAAAGGGTGTGGTTATACAGACTTTTCAACAAAGATTGCCATTAGAGCAAACACAGTATAAAACATACNGCTATACAGACTTTTCAACAAAGATTGCCATTAGAGCAAACACAGTATAAAACATACATAAAGGATAAGCAATCAATGGTCTAACATTATGTAATTTTAATACTGCAACAAAGAATCCACTAGCAGAATAAGTACACCATAATACGGCAATAATACTTAAACAATAACCTAATAAATTATCCAATGAAATAACAACCCCAAATACACTAATCAATACTAAAGGTAATAAGCAATATCCAATAACAGAAGCCGATCTTACTAAATCAATTGTAGTATCATTACTCATAAATTTAAATAAATAATGTAAACTTATTGTACCAAATAATCCAACTCCATAAATATAACCAAATTGTACTTTACCAGCAAATAATAATAAAGTACCAAACATTAATACAAATAATATAGGACCAGCTAAATCACTATCTGCCATTATATCACTATTAATATTTTGATTTAAAGGATTTAAAACAGTTAAGGTTTTTTGTTTTATATGTTGAAAATTTATTCCTAATTCTTCTAGTAATGGAGGTTCACCAGGATATCCACTGGTACCAAATGCTGCTAATAATCCACTAGTTAATTCTCCATTACCCATGGTCCCACTTATATCGAATTGAGATCCAAATCCATTATCCATATTGCCACCCATCATTGAACCACCCAAACCACCTCCCATAGTATTTGTTGCAGCAGGAGTATGCATTGATTGAGGTGAGTATGTATTTTGATTGGTTGAATAGTTTGATTGGTAGAACTGCATGTTTGGTGGATTGTTGCTGTTGTTATTTACTGGTTGATAGTATGCCATGGTGTGTAAGTGTATTGTCTATAAGTTACTTTGTGTATATTAAAAAGTTGTATTTGGATAAATTACTAAGAATTAAATGGTTGTAGGAATGAATAGATCAATCTTTTCTAAAATATGATTCTATTATTATAATTATAAATGACTTTTAGTTGAATCTATATTTCTGATTGAATTCAATAACGAAGAAGAAATGTAAACTATGAGTGAAATCGATCGTAGTAATTAAATTTGAATGTGAAAAAAAAAATATTTAATTGGGTCGTGTACTTTTTCCCAATTTTTAATTGAATTATTTGCAACCAATTAATTGGAGTGGTTGTACAGTTTTCACTACAAACATTGACAAATATACTTAAATCATTTATTCTATAAGATGTTTATAGTAACTTTTTAGAATATGTCAAATGAAAGGGATTTAGAAATCTATAACAAACCAAAGCGGATCTTGTAGAATACAGAGCCAAATTAAATCGTCTGAGACCTGTTGCAAAATCAACTAGATCGATGTATAGATGGTATAGCAGAGATATCACCATTGAACATAAGATTAAGATTGTTCTTTTTGAAATAGAAATTCATAACGATACGGTGATTTCTGACTGCAATTTTATTGATGTCCCAAATATGAATGAACGCTCTCAAAGTAACACATGTGATGTAACTCAGTTTAGAGTTAAGCAACTTGCGTGGAGTGAATTTTCAAGACTATGTTACATTGTATATAAGTATTTGGAATGCGGTGCCCTTTTTGATACTGATGTTGCTCATTATCATGAAAATAAGAAATTTAAGAAAGGCTAAGATGTCAAGTACAGTGTGAAACAAATGGTAAAGAAAGTCATATGAGAACTTTTAATGTGTATTCAAACAACAAGCGACGGAAGCCTTTAAGTACTACTCATGCGAGTAAGCTCAATACATTTATCTAAAAGTAATCTAAGCAACAATGTTTTAAACTACCGTGGTAATTACATAAGATTTAACAACGAATTATTGCAAAATTTCTACGAAAACCCACACAAATTAATATCCACCTATTTTTATTAGCCAACCTCTCATTATTACTAGACATAAACAAACTTCAATCAATATACTTTTCATATATATCTTCAAAATCCCAATAATCCCCGGAGAAACGCGTCAAAAATGGGAAAATCCAAATCATATCCGGGTGACCCCAAATTTTCAAAAGTCAGAAAAACCAGTCACAGTGGCCGAGTGGTTAAGGCGACGCCCTGCTATTAAGCGGTTCAGGCGTTGGGATTTTCCTTCGCAGGTTCGAATCCTGTCTGTGACGCCATTTCCTTTCTTTTTGCATTTTTTGTACTTGATATAATTAAATGAATGTGTTAATTAATTAATTTAATTAGATTTCATAAGAATTGAATGGAAAGAGAGTGACTAAGAAGGTGTCGTCATTTACTACGAGTAAGGAATTTTAAGTTTAAAGAGAAAATTGATTTTTTTCTTTTTTTTTTTTTTAATTTTATTTATTTGATTGTTTAATTTTCCAAGTCATTCAATTTAAATATTGTTCAATCAATAAGTTTCTTATAGAAAGACTTAATAAAGACTTAAATAAAAGTAATAATTAGTAATATCTTAACAATTGATAGGAAAGGAACATGTCACAATCACTTATAATATTTGATACATCAGGTAAAGTCTATTATCAATATAATAATAAGATTAATCCATTTAATGAATTTATTTCATCAATTGTTAATGAAACTCAATTAATTGAATTAGATGTCAATTATTTAACTAAAGTCATTAATAATAAACGATTTTATAGTTATAAAAAGGCTAATGTTTATATTGCTTTATATTTTGATGCTATTACAACTTTAGATAGTGAAAAGATTAAACAATCTTTCTTAGAAATGTTAAAAGTATTTAATAAATTAAAACAAGAAGATGATAATGATGAAGGTAATAATAAATTAAAAGGGATATTAGATTATCAATTCAATCAATTGATGAAATTGAAACAACAAGAAGTAGCTACTCCTACCAGTGTTATAGATAGTGCTAATACTAGTGGAACTGTTACTCCAAGAAGAGGTGCCATGGCAGCTGCAGCAGCAGCAGCTCATAAAGGATCATCTAAAAAGAAGATGAGAAAATGGGATGGTGAAGAAATGGTTGATTATTCAGACGATCAAGCGACTGCTTTAGATTATTCTAAATTAAATAATAATCAAAGTAATGACAATCTTACTTCCAAATCAGAACAAATGAAAATTGATGATGATGCATTTATTAAAGATAATGGATTGGTATTAGTTAATGAATTAAATGAAATCTTAAATGAATCAGATGAGGAAGATGACCAAACTACACAACAACAACAAGAATCAACTAAAGTATCAGGATTCTTTTCCAAGATTACATCATATTTAGGTGGTTCAATTAATTTAGAAGATGTTTCAAAGCAATTTAATGATCATTTAATTTCCAAGAATATTGCTCCACAAACTTCAAGAATTATAATTGAAAAGATTAAATCAAAATTATCAAATCAAAAACATATAACATTAGCAATTTATAAACAAACTTTAATTGAAGAATTAACTAAAATCTTAACACCAAATGTTTCAACAGATTTATTACATGATATTAAACGAAGGTCAATTCCTGGTAGTAGACCATATGTTATATCAGTAGTTGGAGTTAATGGAGTTGGCAAATCAACTAATTTAGCTAAATTAGCTTATTGGTTTTTACAAAATAATTTAAATGTATTAATTTGTGCATGTGATACATTTAGATCAGGAGCGGTTGAACAATTAAAAGTTCATGTTAATAATTTAACTAAATTAAATGAATCATCAACAACTACAACTTCAAAAATTGATATTTTTGAAAAAGGTTATGGAAGTGGTGATCATGTTGTTCAAACTGCAAAATCAGCCATTGAATATGCTGAAGCTAATCAATTTCAAATTGTATTGATTGATACTGCCGGTAGAACTCATTCAAATACTAAATTAATGGCTCCATTAAAGAAATTTGGTGATGCTGCAAATCCAGATAAGATTATCATGGTTGGTGAAGCTCTTGTTGGTACTGATTCAGTTGAACAAGCTATAAATTTTAATAACGCATTTGGTAATAAGAGAAATTTGGATTTCTTTATAATATCAAAAGTTGATACTGTTGGTGATTTAGTTGGAGCAATGATTAATATGGTAATGGCTACTAAAGTACCGATATTATTTGTTGGTACTGGTCAAACTTATACTGATATTAAGAGATTAAGTGTTAAACAAGTGGTTGAAATGTTAATGAGATAGTCATGACTACTACTATTACATGTACCATATAATGATGTACAGTATCTTTTAGATAGTCTATAGTGTATTGCGCGTATACATATGATAATAATAATAATAATAATATTCACATACATTTGGATGAAAAGTATTCTAGAAGAAGTCTATTGAACGATCATGATAATAAAGGGGTGATATGATATGTTTCGTATCTGTTGTATATCATTTAGACGCACGTGTATGTTCTATTATAGTATGGGGGAATATGTATCGTTGTGGGACTAACATCGTATGACGTCATAGTTATCGTATTCTAATAATAGTAAGATATGAAATGAGTGTAAAGTGTAAAAATCATAAGATACGCAAGACAATTAAACTGCAAAATTATACTTGAAAACTCAAATCATCACCTACTTACTTTTATAAACCATTACAATCCATCCAATTTTATAGTTTATCACTTTACTTTCATTTCTTCTTCAAGGTATAAGCAACAGATCATTCATCTACTTAGAAATCCCTCCCACCTAACACTACTACAATACACTCGCCGCCACACAATTATTACATGAAATTTTCCAAATCATCTAAAATCAATGGTAATAATGGTACCACCACTACCACCACCGATAATCTACTGCAGCCGCAATTACCTCCACAACCTCCTAGAAATCGTCTATATCTAAAGATAAACGCATTTAGGGCAGCTGATTTAGCACCATCTCCTAATAACAATACAGAACAACTGTTATCACTTCCACCTTCAGGTCATCAACACAGCCACCATCATAAACGAAGTTTAAATCCAATTCTTATTGCTCAAATCAACCAAACTCAGAAATGCTCATCTAAAAAGACAAATACAAATCAACCTAGTTGGGATGATACTTTATTATTACCTTTAAAGCATAATGGATATTCACAATTATTGATATTATCAGTTTGGGATAAACATAAACGATCTAAAAATTATTTAGGAGAAGTAAGATTATCTCTTGTTGATTTATTCAAGAAACAACAACAATTTGAAAGTAAGACTGAAATGAAATGGTATAAATTATATTCAAATAGAAATGCTCATGCTTTTGTAACTGGTTCAATTTTGGTATCGTTTGAATTGGTGGTTAAAAAGACAAAAAAAGACAAGAGAACAGAGTCACAAGTGTCATCAAATGGATTGGAAAATAGAACTAAGAAACTCAGTATTAGTAGTGAATCATCTACCAAAGAACCAGAGTCATTTTTAGATCATTGGTATAATTCATTGATATATCGAGATATAAATCCCAATTCCTTAAAACCAGATGAACAAGGTTTCTACCCAGATGCAATAGATGGTGCATTGGATCAAGTCATATCAGATATAGAATCCCTGATTGAAGAAACCCCAGCAGACAACAACAATGATGTAATCCCAAGTTCAGGTAGTTTCATAAGTATAACCACTGCGGATCGTAGATTGTTAGGACTGTTATCAGATATGAATTCTTCAGATGCTGCATCTTTTCTATCTACGGATGCTGAAATCCTTGCAACTGAAAGTGATTATAGCTCAATGGGCCCCAATGATCCATATAATCAAGATAAACCACCCCATCCAAAATCAAGAAGACTTCGGAAATTAAAATTAAAAGCTAAAAATAAATTCATTAATAATAAATTTGAATTAAGTAAACGATCGGTACTTGGGGTTGTATTTATTGAAATTATTTCATGTCTGGATTTACCTCCAATGAAAAACTTAACTAGAACTACATTTGATATGGACCCGTTTGTAGTGGCAACATTTGGTAAAAAGACTTTTAGAACAAGTTGGCAAAGACATACTCTAAATCCAACATTTAATGAAAGAGTTGCTTTTGAAATGTTACCTCATGAAAGTAATTATAGTATTCAATTCTCGGTATTAGATAAAGATCGATTTTCATTTCATGATAAAGTTGCTTCTATTTCATTACCATTACGTGAATTAACTGAATATGCTACCGTACAACCAATGGTACATTCCAGTGGTCCAAGCTTGGATCTATTTAAGAATTATTATACTAATACTAGTAATTCAGCTTCAAATGAAGGGTTTACAACTGCTCATGAATCACCACTGAACTTATCGGTAAGAATTATCGATGATGATAATTTAATTAAAAAAACAGTCAAGAAGAAACGATTTAGTATTAAGAAGAAGAAAATTATTGATTCATATGTTGATACTTCGAAATTTAGAGTTATGTCCCTAGCATTAGATTTGGCCGATGTGAAATATTTAGGGAAATATAAACCAGAATTAAAAATTAGAATTCGATTTGAAACTTATCATGATTTAAGAAGGAAATTTTGGCGAGTATTGTTGGAGCAATATAATTTAAATGATAATGGTGATGATACTTATGATTATTTTGAATTAATTTCATTGTTGGATACGCTAGGGTGTACAAATAGTGATGACCTTGTGAATGAGTTTTATAAGAATTTGGATAAACTGATTTGGGGAGGTGATTTACTTTCACATGATGAAATTATTGATTCATTAGAGAATTATGTAAATAAGGGGGGTTCAAATAATGAAAAGATTTTTGAATTTGAAACATGTCCAATATGTAATAAAAAACGAATTGGAAAGAAACAAGATTTGGATATAGTCACTCATTTTGCAATCTGTGCATCAAAAGATTGGAGCATTGTTAATAAACTATTAGTATCTTCATTTGTTTCTCCTCATCAAGCAACAAAGAAATGGTTCACTAAAGTATTTATTAAATTAACATATGGGAAATATACCCTTGGTGGGAACTCAGCAAATATTTTAGTTCAAGATAGAATGACAGGTATAATATTAGAAGAGAAAATGGGAGTATACGTTCGATTAGGGATTCGATTACTTTATAAAGGATTAGATAAAGCCCGTACTAAAAGAGTCAGGATCTTACTTCGAAAATTAAGTTTCCGCCAAGGTTTAAAATTCGATCAACCACAACTGAAGGCTGATATTGCTTCATTTATAAAATTTCATAAATTAAATTTGGATGATTGTATGATTGAAGATCCAAATGAATTCTCCACATTTAATGAATTCTTTTATAGGAAGTTAAAACCTGGAGCTCGTATAATTGAAGATTCACAAAATCCAAAAATTGTCCTGTCACCAGCTGATTGTCGATGTGCTGTGTTTGATACTGTTTCTTCAGCAACTCAACTCTGGATCAAGGGGAAGAATTTCTCAATTGCAAAATTATTCAATGGGGATCTTTCTTCTAGCGGTGGTTACGATTTATCTGATTTTTATAAACCCGAAGCATGTTCTTTGGGAATTTTCAGATTGGCACCTCAAGATTATCATCGATTTCATTCTCCCGTGTCAGGTAAAATTGGGAAAATCAAACTTATAGAAGGGGAATATTATACAGTGAACCCCATGGCTATTAGGTCAGAATTGGATGTTTTTGGGGAGAATATAAGATCAATTATCCCAATTGAAACTGAACATTTTGGAACCGTCATTATGGTTGCTGTAGGAGCAATGATGGTTGGATCAATTATTCTAAGTGTGAAAGAAGGAGACGCAATTCATCGTGGTGATGAAGTTGGATATTTTAAATTTGGAGGTTCTACTATAGTTTTATTATTTGAAAAGAAATTATTTGAATTTGATCAAGATTTAATAACAAATTCAAAAGTATGCGTTGAAACTTTGGTTAGAGTTGGACAAAGTGTTGGTCATTCACCTAATATTGGTGAATTTAAACGAGATCATATTGAATTTAGACATCTTAGTGTTGGAACAAAACTTAAATTAATTCGTCTGTTAACTGGAGGTGATTTGAATGATCAAAGTCAAGTTAGTAATTGGGAAGCGTCTCAAGTTAGTAGGGAATTCAAACTGGAATATCTTCAGCAACAACCTTCTGAATCATCTTATGATGATTATGATGATGATGAATCATTTGATGAAGAGGGACTGGTTGAGGAAGAAGAAGACGAATAGACTTTAACCTTCTAGAATGACTTTTATTAATAATAATATAAATATACAATACAACCTATATACATATATACCAGATATACATATATATTCACTTCCATGTCTCTATTTTCCCATTACGCCTTGTAGTTTTAACCCTAATTTGAATAATTTGTTTATACTTGTTGATGATTGACAAAGCTTGCAGGACGATACATATCCTCTTCTTTAAATCCATTATCTTCTTGTAAATGACGTACAGTCCAACCAACATATTCAACTTCTTGTTGAATATAATGAATCTCTTTTAAGAAATTTGGATCAACCATATATGGAATAATTACAAATTTAGCAACTATAGGAGGAACAATAAATCCAGCTAATAATCCTTTAAAAAGTCCAGTTGATAAGAATGATGACATTGTGTGTATTTGTTAATTATGCTATAGCATGTACTGGTAAGTAAATGAGTGTAGTGTATGTTCTTATAAATCAGGTGGTTTTTTTAGAATTTGCCCAAGGCTTATTTGATTGCCCTTTTATACTTTTCCCGGGGGAGACTCATTTTTTTCGCACCCCCCGTTTTTCACCGGACACATTTTTTTTTAAATTTTATTTTTTATAAAAACTAAAAATAATTATTTAGTCCCTGAATGCAACTTCGTAAATATGTACAATTCCAAAATCAACCTCGGAGTTATTCCGACGAATAGATCCACATATACCTTTCAATTGGTTATAAACGTGTTACTATCATTCAAAGCTACTTTTTAGTATAATTACATCTAGAAATAGAGTGACGTCATCGGCCCCCCCTCCCCCCCACAAATTCAGAAGGCAATGACTTCGGAATCCATTATTGAAAAGTGACACGTCCTCCTTTCCATTAAATTTATACCAAATCTTTGATAGAACCTTCTCGACAATCTTATGAAAAATAAATAGGTAGATCCATTATCTGGGGTAAACAAAGGGGATGTACTTCCTAATTCGGCAAGGTGAGGAAAACTTACACATTCTTAAACAATCAAAAATTCTATCAAAAAATAAAGAGATCAATTGTTTGCCACCTTCAACCCCACTTATGACCGCGGTTATTACATAGGCTGATTGACTTGACGTATATCCGAATGAGTGGCGTTGTATATATTACTTAAGTATAAATTTATAAAATCTAAATTGTATCTATTTTTGTTGAGCACCTCCATATGCATTTCTCCATTCTTGAATCTTCTTTTCATCAATTCTAGTAAACAAATATTGTGCTTTACCAATATTATGACCTGGTTCAATAACTAATTCAAACTTATTAGTAATTGACAAAGCAGGAGCATTCAATATCTCATCAATCTTAATGGTAGTTTCTGGCATAAATGGATAAATAATTGCACTAACCAAATAAACTAAATTCAATGCAACAGCAACAACTGCATCCGATTTATCTGGTTGATTGGCGTATAAGCTATTATCTAATTTATTATCTTGTAAGAATTGATTACCACGAGATGAAATTGCCATAGCTAATTCTAAACCCTTTCTAAGACTAACATCTTCCATACATTGAATATAATGACTCAATAATTCATTAATTTCAGATTCAAAAGTTTCATAATCAGGGATATTCTTGACATCAAATTCAGGAATGACACCATTATATTTCGCAATAGCAAATTTAACAATTCTATTCACGAAATTACCAAGATTGGCTAATAATTCTGAATTATTCCTAGTAACAAATTCATCCCAAGAGAAATGAGAATCGGAAGATTCCGGTCTAACAGAAGCCAAATAATATCTCCAAACTGATGCATTAACTCCAGTTTCTTTAGCATTATTACCAAAAACACCAACTCCTCTTGATTTAGAGAATTTACCACCTTCATATTGTAAATATTCAGTAGTATTTAAATGATGTAATTTAGTCCATACATCACCAGTACCAATTTGAGTAGCTGGGAAAACAACTGTATGGAATGGAACATTGTCCTTACCCATAAATTGATATAAATCAACATGTTCTGGATTTCTCCACCATTTCTTCCAATCATCAAGATTTTTATCCTTGAAATAATTAGCAGTAATAGAAACATATCCAATAGTAGCATCAAACCAAACATATAAAACCTTTTCATCGTATCCTTCTAAAGGAACAGGAGTACCCCAAATCAAATCCCTGGTGATACATCTAGGTTCTAAACCTTGTTTGAGCCAGGAGTTGGTAATGGTTCTAGAATTCTTAGACCAATGCCCCTTTTCAGAAGATTCAGCAACCCATTTTGCCAATGGTTCTTCCAATTCATTCAACTTAAGATAAATATGAGTTGATTCTTTTACAATTGGAGTAGCACCATCAACTTTACAACGTGGTTGAATTAATTCTAATGGATCTAATAAATTACCACATTTATCACATTGATCCCCTCTTGCATCTTCATATGCACATTTTGGACATGTACCTTCAACAAATCTATCAGCTAAGAACGATTTATGTTGTTCACAATATAATTGCTCAGTAGTCTTTTCTTCCAAATAGTTCCCCTTATGTAATTTAAGGAAAATATCTTGAGCTATTTCGGTTTGTAATGGAGTTGTAGTTCTTCCAAAATAATCAAATCCAATATCAAACCAATCATATACATCTTTATGGATCTTATGATACTTATCACACAATTGTTGTGGAGTCAAATTTTCTTCTAATGCTTTAGTTTCAGTAGCAGTACCATATTCATCAGTACCACAGATATATAAACAATTATAGTTTCTATTCTTGGCGTAACGAGCATAGATATCAGCCGACAAGACAGATCCAACAATATTACCCAAATGAGGGACATTGTTAACATAAGGTAAAGCAGAAGTAATCAAGATGTTTCTTTCATTTTCCTTTGGAACAATACTATCACTTTGCTTCTTAACTAAATGACCAACATGAATCTTTTGGGCTCCAGTGTTGACTTCCTTTTCTCTTTCAACCTTGGTAATGGCAAGTGCATCTTTAATACCAGCAGCTACCTCTGGTAATTCAGAAAATTCCTTAAACCAGACATTTTCTTGAGAATCTTTAAATTTAGGATATAAACCAGCAAATACGATAATTTGGGTTACATTTAATTCTGGTTTCTCGAAATTGAATGGAATTTCTATAGTTGAATACTTTTCTCTCTTATTAGATTTAGCACATTTATATAATTCGGTTTCTTCAAATTTTATAGCATCACTTGATTCGAAATTATCAGCAAGATATTTTACAATTGCATTTGCTTCAATTAATTCAAAACCATTGGTCTTATCTTTCAAACTGAATCCAGAATCTTCATTTAATTTAACTTGTAAATTAGGTTGGAATGCTTTCACTGCGATAGATACTTTTAAATTGTTAACTAATGCCAACAAGGAGCATTCCTTAGCTCCAAAGATTTCTAAGCTTGACATTTTTGGATGATGGTTCTTATAAGATGGATTAAAGGTTAGTCATAATGAAAATGAAAAATTTTCTTCAGTTTGGTGGTTTGAAAAAAAAAATGGAGTCATTCAAAACCTCACTGAATAATCATATAATGTACAAAGTGATAGCTGACCAAGCCCCATTAATAGATGAAATTTCCCATACGACAGACAAGCAGCCATATCGGTAGGAGATTTACAAGTTCGGTAACCAAAGATCTTTCTAATGACCCTTGGAACAGTATAATTAGCCCATGTACGGTAGAACCTATAACACCAGGTATCTTGTCAGGATCATCATACATATGTAAAGATAACATAGTTACGAAAAATTCTTATACTACAGCAGCTTCAAAATCTCTTATAGATTATAATTCCCCATTTGATGCTACCGTTGTGAAAATCTTGCTGACCAATGGCCTGAAATTAATCGGGAAATCCAATCTTGATGAATTTGGAATGGGATCATCAAATACGAATTCCCATTTTGGACCAGCATTAAATCCAATGTATTCAACAGAATCGGGACAATCTCATATACCGGGTGGATCATCAGGTGGATCAGCAGCTGCAGTTGCAGCTGGGTTGGCTTCGTTTGCATTAGGTACTGACACAGGAGGTTCTGTTAGATTGCCTGCAAGCTATTGTGGAGTAGTTGGGTTCAAACCTACATATGGAAGGATATCCCGTTGGGGAGTCATTCCGTATGCACAGACATTGGATACTATTGGAATAATATCTAAAGAAGTCAACGTTATAACAAAAGTATTTGGAGTACTTGATGTTTATGATTCAAAAGACCCTACCAGCTTGCCTCAACCAGTTAGAGATTCAATTATACACACCATTAAAGAGAAATTGGTAATTGGGATTCCACAAGAGTTTGTGATTGAAGAATTATCACCTGAGATTAGAAATGCATGGGCTACCACTTTGTCAAAATTAGTAGAATTGGGTCATACACTTAAGTCAATTTCCATAAAGGGGATAAAGACAGCTTTACCTGCCTATTATACTTTAGCAACTGCTGAAGCATCATCCAATTTATCGAGATATGATGGAGTGAGATACGGTTATTCATCAGGAACTCTTTCGGAGTTTATAGCTTCGAATAGAACCGAATCATTGGGCCAAGAAGTTCAAAGAAGAATAATTCTTGGGAACTACACTCTTTCTTCCGATTCAGGAGATCATTACTTACAGGCCACCAAAGTGAGAGAGGAATTAGTGCAAGAATTCTCGAACGTATTCAATAATGGGCATGCTCTTTTTGAAAAAAGACCTGTGACAGTAAAAGACGGATGTGATTTAATAATTTCGCCCACTTCAATTGGCATTGCTCCAAAAATAGATGATTTTTTGAAGGATGATAAATCTAATTTCTTAAACAGTTATGTTAATGACATTTTAACAGTGCCTGCTTCATTGGCTGGTATTCCGGCGTTGTCCTTACCTTGTGGAGGTGTTGGTATTCAGCTCATGGCACAGTTTGGAGATGACCATTTAGTTTTGAATGTTGCTTCCCAAATCTTGAAAGAGAAATACATATAGCTTAAATCTACTCAAATTCATAGATATCTATAACATGCTTGTACAAAAAATGAATATAAAGAAAGAATAATACTGTAAATAATATGAAACTGTTGAATTATCATAACATCGTAACTTGAATCCATCCATAAGGTTGGAAACGAAATAAATAGAGTTTCTCAAAATAACTCTGGAGGGCGGGGGAGAATTGAAATGGAAAATGTTGAATTTTGCACTCTAACCTTCTAATCACATTGATCATTTTCTTCCCAATAAGGTCAAGAACTCTTCTCTTGTCTTTTGTTGATCACGGAAACATCCCAACATACAACTAGTGGTAGTAGAGGAACCAGTCTTCTGAACCCCCCTACTGACCATACACATATGGGTAGCTTCAATTACAACGGCTACACCTCTTGGTCTTAAAATCTCGCTTAGGGCCATCGCAATTTGTTTTGTTAATCTTTCTTGAACTTGGAATCTTCTTGCATACATTTCAGCTAATCTAGCCAATTTGCTTAACCCTAAAACCCTCTTATTAGGAATATATGCAATGTGAGCTTTTCCAAAGAATGGAACTAAATGATGTTCACATAATGAATAAATTTCAATATCTCTTACAATAACCATCTCATCATGATCTTCTTCAAATACGGCTCTCTTAATGACATCACGAATATTATCTTCATATCCTTTTGTAAAATATAACATCGCACGGGCATAACGCTCAGGGGTTTCCAATAATCCTTCTCTATCGGTGTCTTCTCCCAACTCTTCTAAAATAGTCTTGACTGCGCTAGCAATTCGCTTTTCTCTGGCTTGTGCCTCGTCGGAAGTTTGCTCCAATCTCAGTCTGGCACCCTTTGATGGCCATGACAACCCATCGCTATCAATCGGTGGGTTTAAAGTGCATGGCGATGCTGCTCGAGTTTGTAATGGAGTCCCGGAACGAAAGTCTGTGGTATTTCCTAGTAACTTCGACCTCTTGGCTGGTGAAATTGGTTTAGGTGAAAACGCACCGTTGATATCATCGGAGCTTGATCCTTGCTGCTTGAAACTATCTGACATATTCTGAAGAAGCCGTGACCACGTATCAAATTGAAGACTTGAAAACTAAAATTATAGTCTATTTTAATTCTTGCAAATGAAATATGACTCTGAATTGAAATTATGGAAAAATTTTTGGATAAATAATTATTAATAGGAAAAAAAATAAAGTTAAGAATCACGTGCAAACAAAGGAAAAAAAAAATAATGTTCTCTTAATAAAGAAGTATGTTCAGATCCTATCATATTAAAGACTATCGTTCTACAAGCCGAATCATTAAAGAGATAATAGTTGTATAAAAATAAAAACTAGATATAGATATATATATATATATATATATTAAATAATCAATCGAAAATAAGCAACAATAATATTAAATAGGATTAATTTGGGTATAAAAAATACTTCAAGGGAAATAACATGAGTCGTAAGATCGTTCAACGGAAACCCAACCAATTTATAACAGAAAATGTATGCAATCAGACAAACAAAACCCCAAATTCATCTTAGTCGTTTGCGAAAGGATTCAAAATACGGACAGTCAAACATGGCAAAGCCATACCAATTTCAGCTCTAAGTAAAACAGGAACCATATTCAATTCTTTGATTACTTGAATATATGAAGATCCTTCAATTCTAGTAATACAGTCTTGTAAATATGGAGCCAACCCATTTATCGAATCCCCCGAGATGACTGAAGACGAATTAGTTCTCACATTCTTAGGAAATTCCGTTCTAGTAGGTGAAGATGGCATTGATTTAGTAGAATCCTTTAAATCGCATTGGCTCTTGTCTGCTTTCAATACAGGAATTGACAATTTTGGTGGTTCTAAATTCAATTTGGAAAGCTTTTCAACTATTGAATCAGTAGTTACATTTGACTTCTCCAAGAGTGTTTTATTCTGGATTTGGGCAGCTTGCAATGCGGAGGTTCTATGCTTGTTCTTAATGGAACTTCTGTATGACAATGAAGTTTGCTCATCTGGTGGAATATAAGTGGCAGCATCAACTCCTTTTTCCCAATATAATTCCAATGTTCTGTCCTTCTTGTCAAATTCTGCTTTAACCAATGGCAATTGATCTCCATGAACTCTCTTTTCAACTCCTAGCTCTGGAATAAACACATCAAAGGATGATTCGTAGACTTGAACAACTGTACCCATGCATAATAATTGACCAGCAGTTTCACTAATTTCGTTGATTGTTTGAGATAATAAAAGATGAATAGCTTGTTCTTGCGCATTGGCAGCACAGTCCTTTTTGAAATTACAATAGTCAGCAATTGCCTTTAAAGATTCTAAATCCCTCTCTTCTTCTTCTTTGCTCAATGCAAGCTTCAATTGTCTATGTACAACCAAATCTGCATAACGCCTCAATGGAGCGGTAAAATGAGTATATAAAGGTAAATTAAAATAATAATGACCATAGCTTTCGGGATCTTGCTTTCCAGAAATATAATATTTACCTCTGGACATACATTTGTACAATAATGTTTCAACACATTTTCTTTTAACAGGATCTTCAATTTTCAAAATGGACTTTTGTAAAGTTGCAGAAGTCTCAGTATCAATCTTAAACCCTAAAGTTGAAGCTTTTCTCACGAACGTTTCCATCTTTTGAAGAGTTGGCAAAGCTTGACGACGCAACAAAGCCTTGTCACCTAAACCGGCATGAACTTTGGCAGCTATCGCAGTGTTTACCTTATGAGAAATTTCAGTAATAACGTCGAATGACAAACTGTCCTTAAAAATATTCAAATCCAAGCGAACTCTTTCGTCGTCCAATTGATCCAATAATGTTAAATTTGGTGAAATACCTAAATCGTGATCTTCTAACCGTTGACGACGGAACTCTTTGGCAATTAAACTGAAAGTCTTGATATAATCGCAAGTGGCAGAAGATATGGTATTTATATCCTTTCCTTCCAAAATGATATCAAATGTATCATATGATACTAGTTGCTTTGGAACAATGACTGATTCATGAATATATAAATCCTCAACTTCGAAGTTAGCTGTGTCAATTTCAAAAACGACGGAAAGAGCCAAATTACGCTCATTTTCTTTAAATGAAAGTAAGCTATTAACTTGCTTGGGAAAAAGATGGGCACATTTCTGGGGAAGAAATACGGATGATGACCTCTTCTTAGATTTACGATCTAAAATAGACCCTGGTTTGACAAAAAAGGAGATATCCACAACATGGAATCCTAGTTCAATTTTCGAACTTGATAACCTCTTAACGTGCATGGCATGGTCAACAAAATCTCCGGTTTGAGAAAATGCAATAATGTAATCATTCAAATATTCAGCTCTATTGCCAGTCTCAAATTCTGGTTCAATTGAAGGTAAATCGTAAAACGCCACATTAGCTGACTCGTCATCTTCAGGATACTCATCACACAAAAAGTTATTATCTCTCAAAATGGAATCAATTTCAGTGTTGGGTTCATCTATAGTTCCCAATTTACTCACAAGTGTACCAAAGGGGTGTAATGACGTGATTGGCCATCTTTTAATCGACGCAACAAATAATTGGTCAGCATATTTTTCATGATTCTCAACAAAATCTTTTGGCGCTTGCTCAGTTGGAATTGCAATTAATGGAACTTTCTTATCGGTAGGCTTGAACCAAACAATTTTGGGTTCCTTGGGTGTCTGAACAGTTGATTCTTTGCCACTTTTCTTGTCTCGAGCGGCTTGGGCAGCTTGGGCAGGTCTCAATAATCCCAAAGTCCCAGCAAACAATTGACCAGGAATACGATCTACTACGGCCACAACATGACCAGCATAAAGAGGTTTGATCTCATCATTTATTTCTTCCTCTTCAACTAACAATAACGATTGTCCTTCAACTTCGACATCGTCATTTTTCTTCATTGTCGGTCTTTGTTTTAATGATCCTCTCCTTCCAATACCAGAACTGCTCTCTGTGTCCTCATTGCTATCTTCTCCGTTTCTGTTGACACTAGCTTGGCTATCAATTTTACTAGGAGCTGAGGTTGCGTCATTATGAATATCATCATTAAGTGGTCTAGTGTTCAACGTATTATCCTTTCTTCTCTTTTTCTCTTCCTTTTCCTTTTTAGACTCCCAAACTTCATCCACTACCAACAATTCCACAGCAACTAAATCACCTTCCAATGCACGATTACGATCCTTAGATCCACAAATGAATATATCTGCATCCAACAAGCCATCCGTGGAAACATATGCATCTGACCTATTCTTTTTATTCACTCTCAAAGTCCCTGTCACCAAACGTCCTTCATTAATTAAATCTGGCAACGATGATTGTGGTAAATATGGTGCAAAAAGGGACTTACGAGCATTTGCTCCTCCACTTCCAGAACCGCCTTGTCCTTGACCTGATCCAGGTAAAAATTGAGCTAATGATGAAATTGACGATCCTCCACCATACGACCCGCCACGTGACTTATGTCCGGGAACAAATAAACCTGGCGGGGCATCTAAAGTTGATGGTTGCTTTTGGTGCTGATTATTGGGTTGTTGTTGAGCCCTCCAGTTAGAATTAATTCCTTCTGCATTTCTAGAAGGAGTCCTATAATGGGAACCTCTTCTGTTGTGTGATCTATCCGGTGATTGTGTGACAGTAAAACTAGGTGTGGGTGGTAGCAAATTATCAGATTGTTGTTGTTGCTGTTGTTGGTACTGTGCAGGGAATTTAAATGGTTGTTGCCCATAAGCTAATGATCGAGCTCGAGTATGAGATGTCGATGGCGTGGGTAACTCAGCCTCTCCTGCATCTGGTGGAAACTTAAACGAACTTAAATTTTCATTAGATGCTGATTTTGATGTTTTGTTGGGCGGACTTAAAGATGTTCTGTTGGTTTGTCTTTGAGTAGCGGCTGCTTTAATTGCTTCATCTAAAACTAGTGAATGCCTTCTTGTATGACCTTGGCCCTGGCCCTGACCTCCACCTGATCCCGTACGTCTATGAGTGCCAGAAGCTGATCTTGAATGTGATCCACGGCCTCCATAGGAGCCAGAAGAACCTTCAAATTGTTGTTGTTGGGGTTGAGGTGGATATTTAAATTGCTGTTGCTGCATTTGTTGTTGTTGTAAGATTTGCTTCTGTTGTGCCTGGACCTGTTCTAATTGACGTTGTAGGTTATATTGCTCCACCATCAACGTGGTCAATTCGGAGGGCGATCGCCTATGGGCAATGTGCAAGTTCTTCAACTTTCTGCTTGATGATCTTTCGGGTGTAGGACTATCGTTAGAACTCATTTTGAATGGGGATGCATTAATTAGATTAAATGAGGAGAAGGGGAAATAGTGAAAATACTAAACAATGGCTAATAAAATTCTATGATGAGAATTCAATGAACTGATCGATAACAATAAAACTAATATACACGATACTAACTTTGTTTATGCTTTATGAATTGAATGATTGATTGATTGATTCCCTGATCAAATTGGGGAGGCAAATCTTTTGTTGGATTTCGTAGGGTCTGATGGTTTTTCTTCTTTGATATCCTATCTGTTTCTTTCCTTTCTATTAGTCTTCAATGTATGTAACAGTTACTAACGAAATATAAAGCTACAGATGGCAATTGATTGATTGACAAGGGAATGTAATGTAAATGAATGAACTTTTATAATTATAATAAGAAAGAAGAAAATTTGGAGTTCTGGAAGCAAAAATTTAACCTTTTTTTTGGGCTGATTTTTAAGGGTGAGTAAAGGGAGTGAGAAGAATTGTAAAAGAAAAAAAAATCAAATGAATTGTGATGTCGTCATAGTTTATTTTTATGCATTATAATTAGTCAAATTGATTTCGTCATTTGTCAATTTGAAATAATACGAATGAAATACATCACAAAAGAACTTGTCCTCAATTCCAAGGCTTTTAATATATCCTCTATCATACAATAGCGGTTTATTTTAGAGAATTCGAAGTATTTAGCCTTGCGCTTTCATACCTATGAAGATTAAATAAAGATATTGCACAAGCTTATGCCTCGCCTTATTTACAAATGCTATATTTATTGATTTTTGGCTCAACTTGAATCCCCGATTTATATTCCGAAAACTATATCCATTTACATTGTATCTTAAAGAATGACGGTTTAGATTTCCAATAACATGAAGCAAGTTCACATCTTAATCATGAGACATAGTTATCATATATCAATTCGAACCACATTGCAACTGAGAGTTTCAAGATTAAGTACAACAAATTCTCCTGTCTCACTAAACTTTGGGATACTGACTAACCGCACTGAACAGTTATCACCTAACTGAAACTCTTCCGACTCGTAATTCTCTTGGTTTGCAACAAAATAAACGTGAGGAATCTCGTTGTTGAATGTAAATGGATCGCATTCTTCAAAGGGATAACAGTACAAGGTATCTGGAGCAGTTGGAATAAAATTTTGCCAATGTAAATTGGCTCTCATAATAGAAATGGCTGATAAACTCTTTTTAGTGTATTTCTTGACATCATCAATATTTTGACCGCTTGTTCCTAAAATTCTTACTCCATCGATTTCAAACCATTGTGGGTTAGTCAACCTCTGCAATCTACTATCCCCAAGAACTGATGTACTATTTTTGAACATTGCCTTGTGCAATGCTTGTTGAGGTAAGCAGATTTCTGCAGGGTCATTGTGTCCTGGCATCACCGACACTGGTAAACTTAAAATAACATCATTGACAAATTCATCTAGCTTACGTAAAGATTCTGCGTTATACTTGGAAATATTCTTGGATCCATAATTATTCGAGGTAATAAAGCTCTGCGAATCATTCGCTCCTCCCAATTCACTCAAAGGTAAAATTGAGTCCCCAGCAATTATAAGCTCCGCGATTGTTCCACTGTACATTGCATCTTCATTCAGACCAACTTCTCCAATAAGGTATTGTTTCAATAATTCCATTCTTAAATCGTTAATTCCCTCTTTTCCAATGTTTAGCCCCGAGATCAAGGCAACCGTCTTCGTGCTGTTGCCTTGTGGTAATGCTTTTTGAGGAGCTATCGTCGGATAGACAACATCCATGATTTCAAATATCCCTGCTTGAAGCTCAATTCCCAATACTCCAACGATACAGCCAGTCACCAACAAGTTATTATCTAAAAAACCTTGATTATGCAAGACCGCTCTTCCTGACTCATCCTCTAACATTACTACTGCTTCCTCGTCATCGTCGAGATAACTTGCTGGAATTTCAGGTAGGATATCATCTGTTCCCTTTTCAACATCTTGTAGAATGTTCAATTTATTCTTTGCATCACAAAAAATTGTACCTATAACCCAACATAATTTACCACTGGTAATATCCAAAATTTTGTCCTGCCTAAAGATTGTTTGTCCGTCAATCTTCTTAGTTCCATCACCCCATTTCTTGATTGCGTTGCGAAGTACCCTTTCGCTCAAAGTGTTAAATCTATGCTGATACATTGAAAAGAATTGCTGATTATACTTCCTCTGTCCACGACCAAGCAAAAACTCATCTACTTTTTCAAAAGGTTCATTGAAAGATACTTCTGATCTTTTGACTGTTACTTCTTGGAGTCCCTTATTAAGGTACTGCAAATCACCCATGGTTGGTTGTATAAACTTTGACTGAATAGAGTCTTACAATTGTATAATTAGATTTTTTTTTTTTGGTTTAAGAAGACGCGTCTATTTGATACTTGCAAATTTTTCAAATGCTTTTAATTAATAAATTTAATATACACACAACAACTACAAATATCTAAAATCTAGTTAACACCTCCTAATTCCTCCTTTGTTTCTTGTGCTTCTTTTCAATTGACTTTCCGCTAGCACCAATCGTAATATTAACTTTAGGAGGAACATCAAATCCAAATGATTTCCCAACCTTGACTAAATCTAATTTGTCAATTTGGTACACTGTCTTCAAACTATGAGATGCATATGCTTGTAAATAAGCACGGTAACCATCTTTAGCGGATTGATGTAATAAGTAGTTGGTCTTTATTAACTTTGTCAATTGCGATTGAACGTTGGCTATCTTATTAGCTGGGAATTCGAATTCATTCAACGGAACATTGGCAGCCTTCAAATATCTTAAGAATCCCAATTCGGAAGGAGTTAAGAACATCAAAGACTTCCCTTTTCCGTCAGTACCTCTGGCTGTTCGACCAACTCTATGAATGTAATCTCTTGGATCATCGGGTGGATCAAATTGAATAATCCAATCTACTGAAGGAATATCCAAACCTCTTGCTGCAACATCAGTACAAACCAAAATACCCTGTTTGGCGTTACAAAACTCGAAGAAAGTATTTGTTCTCTTTTGCTGTTTCTGCTTCCCGTGCAAGTCTAACACTGGCAAGTCAATATAGTTTAATAATTCACTGTAGAACTTGACACAATTACAAGATGAAAGGAAAACAATAATCTTCTTCTTTACATTCCTCTTTAAAAAAGAAAATAATAATAAGAATCTCTTATCAGAATCACAAACAACGTACCCTTGTTCCAATCCGTCTACAGTAGATACAGATGCTTCTGGAACGACATTGATATATAATGGACCTGGCCTTAAAGAGATTCTTGCCAAATCTTCAACTTTGGTAGTCTGAGTAGCTGAAAACAACATAGATTGTCTGTCTTCGTTAGGTAAGATCTTAATAATCTTTTTCATTTCATCTTCGAAACCAATCTCCAAAATTCTATCAGCTTCATCAATAACTAACGCCTTCAAGTTACTGAATACAAATCCTGGAGTATTTTGCAAATGATCCAATAATCTACCTGGTGTGGCTACTAATAAATTAACACCTTTACCTAATTTGAATGCCTCAGCCCTTCTATCTGCACCTCCAATTACAATACCACATGTCTGAGAATGAAATTCCATCAACTCTCTAGCAACTCCAAAGATCTGCAATGCCAATTCTCTTGTAGGGGTAATGATAATCACTGCAGTACCATTTCTTGGTTTGATTTTTAATGAATGCAATAACTCCACAGCTGGGATAAGGAATGCCAACGTCTTACCTGATCCAGTTTTGGCAGCACCCAAGACATCGCGACCTGCCATCAATGGTGGGATCGTTTTGGCTTGAACTTTGGTCATTTTGGTGAATCCCATACTCTTAATCGCATTTAAGGTTGGTTCTGACAAGTCTGCATCTTCGAACTTAACATCCTCCTCTAAGGCACTGGAATCTTCAGCAGCCCTTGGCCTAGTGTACTCCTGCAACTTCTCAACTTCTTCTTTGTTGGCCTTTTTATGCTTTGCCTTAGATGAATCTTCAAAATCCTTCACATCCTGCCCCAATAATCCAGCAACTTCATCGAAATCTGCATCCAACTCATCAACAATCTTTTCATTGTTCTCCTCTTCTGATTCAGAATCTGATTCTTCGCGAGATCTCTTCGTTGGCCTCTTCATTTCTTTTCTAGGTTTTGATAACAGCTTTTTAGCCTTGTTGTCCTTCACTTTTGCCATCTTTAACTACTAGGTAGACTCTTCAAAGATTCTTTTGTTGGTAAGAAAAATTAATTTATCTCATCTCATCGTTTATCATCCGAATATTTTTTCTATTTCAATATGGAAAAAAAATGAGACATCACGTGATTTGCCCCCCCCATCCCAATTACCTCAATTCTTGGTTTGATATTTCTATTTGGGTGCATTAAGTCGAGAGATTGTTGAATAATCATCGGCTAGGATTATCTTCTGCTAGAGAATCTTTCTACCACTTCGGTTGTTTTTAGAATATTAGAATTCGTGACAAAATTCTTTCAAAATATTGCCAATGTATTACATTAGCGACGGTCATTCTGGAACGAAGGAATATAGCTATTAAAGACCCAATAATACGAAAGAAACAGAGAGAAGGCTCTTTTTCTGATTCTCGGATCTCTAAACTATGCTTCTTATGATAGACCCCTATACCGAAATTCTGAGGTTATTAATTTTCTTTATTGAATTTAAGCTTTGGTTGCCACACTAAAAGCAAAAATGATACTTCTTCTATTAATAGCTACACGTTGTCTGAGATAATGTGACTCAGTAGTTTTCTGTTAGATCAATTAGAGGCATATTTTGACCTCTCCCATAACCCACTCTTGAGAAAAGTTATTCTCTGGTTGAATGACAATAGACATAGAAAACCTTGTGTCGCGACTTCATCACTAACTCTTTATATAAACTATATGACTAATTATATCAAGAGGAATCACTTTAGTTTCTAATTTAGTTAGAACTTTCCGTTCCATTTAAGCGATCAGCAGTTCTATACGAATGATGAGCAATATGCTTCAAGCCTGTTAAACTTTGAACCTAAATTACTTCATGGAATGTGTTTTCAAGTGAATCTTACTTTTAAACAGTGTAGTTACTAAGATTGGAGCTAGGAAGCAGCATGGACAGGAACAGAAGACCTATTTAGGAAGTTAAACCAGTTTACTGCATATTGCAGCGAGCATTCTCCGTAACACCATTCTGATGTCAGGTGTCGAACAAGTTTACGAATAATGCTTACCCGCTTCAAGAAGGAGCTTGGATCTATTATCCAAGTGAATCCACTGAACATGATAGCTCTGAGAATTTTGCCCATTAACACACTTACTGAGAATCTTATAGACGGAGGGCAGTGTCAGATATTGATACCATATTACCAGAAAAGTCATCTAGAACAGTAAGAAAAACCTAGAATTACATTTAGACGTATGAAATGACCCACATGCTTCAATTTGTAAAAGATCTCTTTAAGAATCTTCGGCTTGTTCAACACTGCCTTACTCAAGACCGCGATGTTCACAGAGAAACTTTGAGAATGATTTACTTTAAGGGATGCATCCAATAACGTACCCAATCAGATCAATGCCCACGTAGATCCAAAAATTCGACCAGAAATGATCCAAAACGTTTAACATTCTTCACCTGAACACTATTTAGACAGCACTACCACAGAGCAAGATCACATGTTCCTTAGCTAATGCAATTATTACTGAGTGAGTTTGAAAATGCGGAAGGAACATACGGTTTCCAATTTGATATCTTGTCGAATATTGTGGTTTTCAAGATGCTTGCCATTTCCGCGAATTGGGTCGCCCCATTAGTGTAATCCAAGGTCTGGTAAATCGACTGCTTCATACAAATGTTTCGGGACCATCCAGAGTCAATACTAAAGTAACTGTAAATACGTTCAGAGAAGAAAGTCAGAGTCAAATGCTAACAAAAATGTCACAGAACCACAGAATAAGTTACATGAAACTCAGAAACAGCGACATCGGCAGGCGAAGGAGAAAGACGAGCAGACGAATCAATGAAATCACTTAAGCATCCTCTATCTGTCCATAAGTCCAGATTAGATCAAGAAGAAGCTGCATAATTAGCAGACAGGACAGGAAATGCACACGGCAAAGACCGATAGATTTCTCGGCTTCAAGCATCCCATGTTGAGTTCTTATGAGGTCATTGTTACAGCGTATGAGATATGCGGTGGATTTAGAAAGCCTGGAGAATGGAATTGCCACCGCTAGAATTGGCCCTGTGCCACTGAAAGGCCGTGTCGAACCCGTCACAACCAAACCAGATCTATTTGGGTAAAGTCAAAAGAGGCAAGTATTTGAAGGGGAGTGCCAACCCAACCGGAAGGTTCAGATAAGGGATATGGAACATCAATACAGGATCGATAAATAGCAAACCAAATTTCAACAAAACGTCATCGTCCGTAATCACGAACGAACTGATCAGTAATAATTTATCGAATCATAGTATCTGACGAGGATACTGGGAAGAACAAACCATGACTTCGCTTACGATCACACTGAGAAAAGAAGCTTCGGTGCACACTTTGAAACGAAAAACCTGCAATTGATTCCGAACCAGATCCTTTTGAATGCCTTAGCCCCCGTTTCAGCAGACTTAGGGCCAATCCTTAGCTATAATTCCCTAGCTCTAGAACCACGCATTATCAGTCTAATATTGGGACATCCTGAGGGGAGCATCTAAAGTAAAAACCAAAATTAATTAAGATAACCTCCGCATATATAGGGCATTATAGCAACATCAACATCAGAAGATACATTTGAAGCAACACCAAAATACTGCAGACAACGTTCGACATATCATCATGGCCAACAGACAAACCACCAACCAGCAAGCTTCTAGAAATTGTAAAAGGTGAGCCATCGCAGTCAGAAAAGGAGAATCCGATTGACCAATACTGTGGCAGCTAAACCAGCATTGATCCGTTCTGCACTCAAACTGATAGAAGCGCTGTAGGAATGCATAGCCCAAAGCGAAGGCTCGAGTATTACATCATCAGCAGAGGTTCCGTTTTCACATTGCGAATATCAAATATAGATAGCAAGATATCTTTCTTTAAGAAATCGGTCAGAGATACCACCCTATTTTAAGCAGATCAGGAATCTTCAAGTGACCAATTTCTTGATGATCAAGCTGAGGGAGAACCCAGTGATAAAAATAGAAACAACTAGCTTCACGAGATTGAGCACCAGCTATCGATTTTTGAGCTATTTTGCCAACGGTTCATGTTAAGCAAACGTAATAAAAGGGCTCTGGAGCGATTGCCCCCATAACCCTCACAATTTCACCTGAAATTGATCGAGAAAACTCCCAATTGAAGGACAGAGCAAAAGTAACTTCGATAGCAATTCACGAAGAATCGTATTTAAAAGTTGGACTTCAATATCCGTAGAGTCAATGCTAGATGCAGCCATAATTATCAACACCATTACAAACCAAGGGACAGTTGTCTCCACAACTACCTATTATCAGTTCCAACCTCGTCAGTTGATGGAGATTAGATTCACTTGAACGGCTCATGAACTGAACTAGTGATAAGTCTTCTTTATGCCTTTCGGCGTTGCTTTTCGCAAGCTTTACTGCAGCAAAACAACCACGGCTGAGTACATGATTGGCCCTTCTTTGGAAAAAACACAGCTTCTATGCGTCAATTCGTAGTGTTCAGAAAGTTCAGAATGAGACCCATCTATGTG